TAACCTAACCTAACCTAACCTAAACCTCACCCGCACATCATCATCTCCTCCGGCTGCACTTACCACCATGGTTATTTACCCATCGCTCTCTGGTCCAATAACTATTGTCCTTCTATGTAAATTATTCCTGGATGTAGATCGAGCTATTAAATGTTACACAAAAAAGTATTCTTGCATGGTAATCCAAAATTGTATACTGTAAATTTACATAACGTCTAGAAGTACCATAGGTTTACCACGGGGCTGGCCGTCTGTCACGCAGCCTTACCGACCAACCGAAGGCAGATGTTTTTGACTGGGTGTAAAATGTAGGGCACTAAAAACCAATAATTTAAGAAATGACAGTGTCTTTATGTGTAAGATTTATTTTTGTCTATTTTTTTATTTAGGATTCTTTTTTTTTTCTCTCTCTCTCTTATTTCTCTCCTTCACTGTCGTAGTCTGTTGGTGCCTAGCTTGGTGAAACTTTCAAGAGATAAGGCAGGAAAAAGCATATATGATGCGATAAGATACGATTGTCTGTGGGGCTTTGTTATTGAAATAATCTGTAGCTTTATAACATCACTTCTCAAGTGTGCATACCATTTCTCTTCATGTGGAACTAGGTAATATTTTAATGGCTGTATATACGAATGTTTCAAACTGTTGTCCTTGGACCTCGGGGGCTTAAAAAGAGCTTTGTACTCTTGTCATGGTGGCACGTGAACCACTGCTAGGCTTTAGATAAATTATCCCATTTAATGAATCTGCAGAGAAGAATAAGAAGGTGAAATGTTTAAAAGTGGCTGAACGTGAATAAACCGCACTGAGTTCGTTCACAAGAAGTCCACAAAGTAGAGAGCAAGATGGTTCGGCTTTCACTGTCAGTGAGCGTCCTGGGTCACAGCAGCACCTGAGCAGAGTTCAGGGATTACACCCGTTTAATCTCTAGCACTTGATAAAGACCTCGGGTGTGTCTCCCTTTAGGAGACGATTTCCTGTGACCTTGCATGTCTTTTGTTGAACCGAGGCCTCTGTCCACTTACAGTGCCCTGACCAGTCAGTCTTGGCAGGGTTTTGGTGTACCATAGGAATTGTGTGAAGTCAGGAGATGCTCAGTTGTCCCACGGTGACTCTGAAGGCTTCACACACACACACACACACACACACACACACACACGCAAGACGAGTGTGACATAAACCCGCTAAAAAGAAAACGATAGGCATGATGAGGAGTCAAAGTGAGCCCCCTGGGTTTGATATCTGGGATGTGCAAAGATCTCTAATTTCTGAGGGGTGAAATATGTTCTGCTTAATAAAAATGGTTTTGAGTAAAAAAAAATTATAAAAAAAATCAGTTTTCTGTGAAAATATGAAATGTAAATTTAGCTTGTTAAGAGATTTGGCAATTTTGTATTATCGCACTAAAGGATGAACTGGATGGGAATTTAGGATTAGTGAGGAAACGCCAGCAGCAGACATGTGCTAAGTGATCTGTTGATGCTGGTCTGTCTGTAGAGGGGTCTGTATGCGGAGGTCGCGTTTTGTTTTGTTTGTGAAGAGCTCCTCACTGTGAAGAGAGGCAGTGGCAGCTCCTGGATCACATTTGGAGGAGAATGCTGAAGCCTGAGCAGCGAGGATCTCCACAGACAAACCCCCCCTTCCCCACGCAGACCTCCTCATATGTATGCAAACGTCTTCTGAGTGGCTTTCCTCAAGCTGTAGAAACAGGACACGGTTTTTTGGAAAGACTGGAAAATAACTACACCAGTCCACGCTGTAGAAACAACCATTCCACTCCCATTGGAGGACAGAATAAAAATGAAACATCTTGCTTCTAAGTGTAGCTGACAAGGTGGTTCATTAATCTTGCACATCCCTGTTTTCACTAAATCTTTGGTCCTTTTTAATGGTGATCAAAGACAACATTAACATTTAATGATGTTGATAAATGCATAAACCTATAATTTCTGGTTAGCCTTTTCATTCCAATACAGTTCTTGGCTAATAAAGAATTCCACTGCTTAACCGATCCTTTCTTATCTTCGCTTCTTTGCCACGTTTGTTCCTCTTCCTGTGTGTACTGGATGTGGTGATCTGCTGCTCAAGCTCCTGCTAGTGTAGCTCCTGTGAGCCTAATGTGACCTGTTGATGTAGCACTGCTGCATGTAACCTGCGCCAGAGGCAGAGCTGTCGGAACAATACTCTCTTATAGGATAAAATACTGCAGCCTTCCTTGTCTAGAGTCTGATTGGGTTGAATAACGGAGGCGAGAGAAAGTGATTTGCTTTCTGGCTGAGAGTTGGTTGGCTTAGCTTAGCATAAAGACTGGAAACGGTGGGAAACTGCTAGCATTGCGGCGGTTACAATGTCCGTCAATTAACACCAATAAAACTAATAATCGATACACTGTATGTCGTTTGTTTGTTCCGTACAAACAAGTATAAAATAGTATATGCTTTAATAAGGGTTGTGTGCCGGACTATCTGTCGACCAGAACTACGGTAGTATAACTTATATGCAGTGGTTGCCTGGCAACAGAAGTGCAATTATAATATTTGCGAAAATACTTTTTATGTAAAGTCTTCACGGTAAAATGTTTAGAAAATGATTTAATAAATAAAGATTATTCCCTTAAAATTATAACATTTACGAAAAAAACAATACTTTTGTAAAAGAGATAAATGATTAATTAATTCTAACAATAGGTAAATAACCCATACGTTGTTTACATGGCAACTGTTTGCGTTAGCCAGCTATGTGACAGAAGCATTAACATAAAAACAATATATTATTTTATTAATAATAATTGTATATATATTCAACGTTATATATAAGTCGATGGACAGGAGTTCTGGTTGCCTGGCAACTGCTCCCTGCCACTTCCCGCCTGTTTCCAGTCTTGATGCTAAGCTAACCGGCTGCTGGCCTCAGCTACACAAACTTGAGTGTTATCAATTTTCTTATCCAACTTCAAACAAGCGCATTTCCCAAAATATCAAACCTATTGCTTTTACATTGCTGTGTCCTTTGTTGGTTGGCTGGTGAGTTCAGACAGCTCTGTTCATTGGTTGTAGAAAGGCTGGTTTTGTTGTGTGTGATGCTATTTGAAGGAGGTTTACGTCTTCTTCCTTCTGTAAATGCATTGGGATTGTGGCAGACTAGGATGTCCCAAAGGAGAAAAACCCTCTCTCTTTCAGGGAATATTACTCATGTCCCCCTTTGGTGTGTGCCCCCTTACAAAGGTCTTATTTTTTATTTTCTACAAGCTGTCTTCTCTATCCTGACTTCTGAGGCAAAGACTTTGGGTGGAGAATCAGCTAATTTTGTAGTACAATTTGGCATGGCGAATGAAGATGCCAATGTGTTAAATGTTTTAGCTGAAGCCAAAAAATGGAGACATTTATTGTCAGTACAATCTGGCTCGATAAACCAGCCTCCTTTTGTTGGTCCAACACTGTGGCCAACTGAAAATGATGCTATAGTCTCTTCAGGATCACGCTATGACATGCCAGACCATAAAATGTAAATTAAAAACGTCTTCCCTTCCTTGGTTTTACTCAAGGAAGGTCGATTAATCAAAGGTCAGGACGATGTGTGTTCTGTTTCTTTTGTAAGAATCGCTGGAAAAAGCTACAACGCAGTTGCTGGTGTTGTATGCAAGTGTGTGCCCTGTTGAAGAAAGAAAATCCCCTTTTGCCATTCGCAGGTCCCAAGCAATCCCTGTGCTCCTCTGGTCTGGTGTGTGAAGGGACCGACAGACACTATGACTGTCTGTGGGTCGTTTCCTCAGGCCTCAAGTCCACCTGTCCTCTGTAAACCTGCCCATGAAAACACATCAGAGGGCTTCAGACTGCACAACAAGCTCCTACAGGAGAGCTTGTGATGTTTTCGCCACTATGGTCTCACTCTTCACTCAGCAAACTGTTAACAATATACCTGGATGTCATTATTGTTTGCGATATAATAAAAGAAGAAAATCTGCATCTGTGTCGTCCTGCTTATTTGTTTTGAGCCTTTAGTTATGGTAGTACAGTGGGACAAATTAATAATAATAATACTAAACTAATAATTTCACACTAGTGAGTCACAGTTCATTTGAAGTTGGGTCAGTAAAATGATTGATTGATGGTTGACAGACACACACAAGGCTGTTTTATTTGTCATTATCAGTTGTATTTTCTCCAACAATATTTCCACTTATAGTGGAGGTAACATAAAGGAAAGAATAAAAAGGACAACAAGACTTAAGAAAAAAACAAAAGTGCCTTACTAACTTTAAAATATGCAATTATAAGTTCCTTTATTAAATTGTAAACATTGGTATTCTTAAAAATCAATATAGGTGAATAAAGAAATCTCAGTAAATAACATTTAATAACATTTACAATAAAAAGTCTTTGGGTTTTTACATTCACAATATACAAATAAATCTTAAGTAATGTTTATAACGCTGAAAAAACAGTAAACCATTAAATGATTTTGTCTCGATTTGACAAACTGTTGACATGGGAACCATTTCCTTAATGACGTCAACACGCATTGGCGTCGAGCGGTGACGTAGTGGACAACCAGGAAGAGAGTTGCAGAAAGTGAACAACGTTTGAACAACGTGAGTTTGTGAGTTTGTGAG